ATTAAATTGATATTATAATAAAGTAAAGATAATTAATAAAAATAGAAAAAAATAGATAGTTAGTAGAAAAAAAGATATAGACAAGCCAATTGAATTTTAACAAGTAAAAAACTATATTTAAATGCTGCCAAGAGAAAAGAATACCTCTGTTTTTTAATCAATTATTAAATCAATAATTGATTAAAAACAGAGGTGCTCTTTTCTCTTGGTAGCACTTATTTAATATATTTACTATATTTAAATAGATTAGAAATAATAAAAAATATTACAATTAATAATACAGATTTAAATTAATATTTATAATATAATAATATAATTAATTTAATATTATAAAAAATAATTAATTTATTTCAAGAATATAATAAACTCTAATTTATTAAATAAAAAATAATTTAAACTACTAAAATATAAATAATAATTTAAATAATTGTAATCTTAGAAAAGTTCACTTTATTGCTTACTATATAGTTAAAAATCTATAAAATTATAAAAAATAATATATTAGATTACTATACAAGAAATATTGTTTAAGTTCATCTTAATAGCAATTGTATCTAATATATATTATAGCTATACTATATGATTTATATATATGTTACTCTGTGCTGATGATTGATATTATAGTATTTTTTATAGTTCCTAGATAATTCTTGCTTAATCACATTTCTAGAAAATATGTAATTAATAATTTCTTTTTTAAATATATAATAGATTTTTTTTAGAATAGAGGAAATAAAAAAAGTTAAAATTATATACAAAAACCTGATTCTTTATATATTAAAAAGGAAAAGAAGTAGTAGCTCTCTAATAAAAATAATCAGATAATAAATAACACTGCTCTTATTACTATTATTTTCTAAATATTTCTTTATATAATGATATAAATATATTAATAATATAGTTAAAGTTAATTTTTTGAATCTATTTATATTATAAAGTGTTGCTAAAAATTTTATATCTTCAATATTTGTTATATTTCTATAGTATTAAATTTTACTTATACATTCTAAATATATAGGCTTCTAATCAACTTTTATTGCATTTTTTTTGCATAATATATTGAGATACAATCTTTAAAGTATTTATTATTATTATAGAACAGGGTGAAACCTGAGTTGCGAAATAGTGAAATCCGCTTTGTAGATCGAGTTAGGGTGAAATCCGCGTTTTATTATGTTTTTTATTATATAAAAGTGGATTTCACTCTTGTGTAATGATCATAGCGGATTTCACTATTTCGCAACTCAGGTTTCACCCTGTCGTATTATTATAATTTTGTAGATAAATTAATTCAAGTTGTGGTTTATTTAGTTTTATAAAGAGGTAATCAACTACAACCTTGTAGTGATCTGAATATACTTTGCTTGAACAAATAACTATCCTGATTCTTGTATTGCTTTATTCTTTATAGATATTGTTAAATATTTATTATTATATATGTTATACTGTATTTTAAATTCATTAAATTCATTCAATTTTATATAAAATTGTTATTATACCATACATATTATATATACAGTATAATACAGTATTATACCTAGTACTATACTAAGCATTTTTATATCGGGTAATACCCGATTCGGGTATAACGATAATCTCTATTTGTGACGTTCCTACCTGTAATAAAATCAAAGTATCGGATAATTGGGTACAACCTTAGAGTTCTAACAAAAATTTTTCTTGTGCAATTTTGCTATATCACTCCTTTTCCTAACCTTTTTAACCCAACAATATTTCTGGCATCACGTGACAATGAAATCGATACAAATTCATTCAAATTAAAGTTCTCGTTCGTTCGTCTTGTTAAAATCGAAATACAAAATGAATCAAACGAATAAGCAATGGTTCACATATTACGTTCTAGTTACCAAGTTCAAGTCAGATTATTAATTCGACTCAACCGAGTCACGGAATCTTACGAATTCAAATTTTTTACCACAACTATAAATTTAAACCAGACCATTATGTTTAAGTTCTCTGATTGGCAAGCAATTTATTTTAGCAATACAGTATAATCAAATTTCTTTCGTTAGTATAATTACAAATACTGTATACGTAGTGCAAGCAGCATAATGAAAATCACTACGTAATCAAAATTTTTTATAATGATCTAATTAGCGCTTATGAAAACATGCGCTTTTAATTTCTTTTCCAGTATTTAATGTTTTTTTAAATTTAAAAACATCAATTTATAAGACATATCTTCGTATGGTAACAACGTTGAAATTCTATTATAATATTTACCTATCGATATTAACAACTTCTTGTTATGAACTAATCATATAGAAAAACGGAAGATAGGTAAAATTCAACGTTGTAATAATATAAAGCTTCATTCAATAAAACATATAAAAGTTGTTAAAATTAGAAAATGTTGAATATTGCATGAGAAATTGAAAACGCAGTAAGGCAAAATTTTTATAAGCGTTAATTAGAACGTGCAGAGCGCTGCCAAGGGAAAAGGGAACATCCGGCATTATACTATAAAAATTTTCAAAACTTTAAATAAAAAAATTTTTATTAAATATAATCAAGTGGTTGTTAAAGACATCTTTAATTAAAGTTTTGAAAAAAATTTGTAGTATAATACCGGATGTTACCTTTTCTCTTGGCAGCACTCGTGCAGATCTTAAAAAATCTTGATTAGTGACCTTTTGTGATAATACTAATGATTGACGATTGACACCTCAATGTTTTATGTATGCGGCATTATATGCTTGCTGAAATATTGAAATAAATGATTGCTGGAGAAGCTTTAAATTTTTGTAACACTGCAGCTACAAACATCGGCTTAGTTTTTTGTGAAAAAATCCAGATCAGCTACGAAATCTGCATTTTCTTGAATGAATGCCAAGTAAATTTCTATACAACCATTTATACTCTCTTCATTATAAAATCTGCGAATATAATCTAAGTGCTAATATATATAAATGACATGCGAATTGTGTATTCCATCGTGTTGAATTAAATATTGGTATATTTGTTGGATTAGGCACTCCATGACAATGATTCAACTTAAAAGTTTGTTTAATATTAATAAGTAGCCGATGAATAACTTGAAAACGCTCAATCGAAAACATGCTTTCTAAAAAATTAATTAACGTTAATATAAAAATAGTAACCCGATAAGGTTGACGATATGCGCCAAACACGGCATGAATTGTGGCATTATAAGGCTTCAATATTTCACGAACACTTTTCAAAAATGGTTGGTTAAAAGGAATTATCCATTAGGCCAAAATTTGAACTGAGTTGAACCTATACTGCAATTATTAACCGGTTCTAAAAAATCAATATGGCCTACCTTCGTTACACCTTCATAACTAAGAAGTAAACTACACGATGAATGAAACTCGTTTGTTATTAAAATATTCTTTAAGCTGATTGAGATGCTTTTCAAATACTTGTAGTAATATTCACGTCGTAAAGTATATGCTTTTGGTATAACTCTTCCCTCATAGCAATTTTTGCGCAACCACTTGTTTATTAATATGTTTCAGGATTGTTTATATGAGCAGTAATAACATTTTTTAGTATAATAATTAACACTACGGCCACAAGTTTTTCATTATCAACAAAAAAATCCTCGGAAAACTCTCTTGCACGGAAAAACGGTGATGCTAGAAGATGGTGTCATTTTACAAATTTATTAAATATAAAATTGGCAAGTTTATATAGGTATCGCTAAAGACTTTATACAGCGATACTATTCGTAAAACTTTATATAATTTTATTACGTAAAAAATCTATAATTGTGATTGGTTATTTGAACGTTAATTACAACAATTCCAAAAACTTCGTTTTATTCCATTTTTATCGTAATGGAAGTATTCCCCGTCCCTGGCTCAGCCGCACAATTACAACTTGTTCCCGCTGGACGCGCATATGGACAACAAACTTATGAGCCAGTGCACAAATGCTACCCCTGCGGGCACGTTCATTCTTGCCAAGATTGCAATCGTGTATTACTTTTTCGTCAAGCCTTAGGGCCACAAGAAACGAAATTCTTTGAACCAATGATCCTAAGCAATTCCAAAGTTAGTAAATTAAACAAACTGTATTAATAACACTTAAAGTAAGCCGCATCTTCTGATTTTAATATATAGTCTATTGGTAGAAAATATCGAAGGATGGAAATTGAACCCTATTTTCGCAGGTATACAATAATCATTGTAAATTATTTTTGTCAAGATTGATATATATCTTATTCTTACAAATCTTATTAATTAGAAACGTACCCAAAAACGTGGGAATTTCGCAAGATGAGATTCTAGAGCGCACTCTTGCTAATCCAAGCCTCAGCATTATAGAAATTGTTAACCAGATTGCTGTTGAGAATGATGAAGCCCGTGAGAGGGCCTTGTTAGCAGGTGATTCTATGTATCATAGTATGAGGCAAAATAAATATCAGGATGAGACAAATATTCAGGAAGAAGGTCCAAGTATTTTAGCACAGCAGGGTATGCCATCAGCGCTTACCGAAATTGCTGTGCAACCTTCACAAAATATACATGTTAATCAGACTAGGTAATATTATTTATTAACTAGCAATAAATTCGTTTACCAAAACTGATTCGCTTTTATTTATTAGTGAGGTAGCGACGACTTCCTCGTCAGCTCAACAATCCACTACCCAAGAACCAGCTGTCAGTTCTCAGACGCCTTCTATGACACAATCGACCGCATCTGGTGCTCAATTTACACTTATCGATCCTTCATTAGGTTTTAAAAAGGCAACTATTAAGTATGCTTTGCCTAAAAAACCTGACACTGGTTATAAGCCACGGCCTAATCCTGTAACGCCGAACTTGAAAATTAACGGCGGAGGGATTTTCTCGGAAATGGCCGTTTTCTTTAAAAAACTATGGGGATGGTACTAGTAAATTGAACAATTGTTATCTGCAGGTTCCAAAATTTAAAAATATATATACCTTACACTTATCATTTAACACTTCATAAGAGATCAACATTGTAATTTCAATTTTTACAAAATTTTGAATATATGTTGTAAATTATTAGTATGTAAAATAAGTATTGTAATAATTGTCCGAAGTGTAGCGGAGAACACTATTTCTAGGATAGATTAGTGGAGCAACCAAAATTTAGCAGAACACCCAAAAGCTAAACCAGCATTAAGCAATAATACTAGTCAAC